TGCACCAGGCCTCTATCCTATATAGTAACAGGGTAATATGCAAACTGACCCTAACAGCAGAATGACTGGGAATGACTGGTCACTATGACACACACTGACCACCAGGGGGCAGACTCTCAATGCTGGAGCTGCCCTCTGGTGGTCAGGTTACTCTCACATGGGAGGAGCTCTGCTCAGCCACAAGCCAGGCTGATGGCTGCCAGTACAGCGGTGGTGGTGGGAGCCTCTCCTGCCTCCTCAGCAGCACTAAGGATGTCCGACTGCAGTTTAGGCCTGCTCCCTGCTGGCAAGTGGACATCCCCTGAAGGCTGCCGGCCTGCCAGAGGGATGTCAGATTGCCATCTTAGGCCCAATCCCCCGGGGAGCGGGCCTAAGCCAGCAGGTGGTCATCCCCTGAGGGGTCCCAGACTGGGAGAGGGCACAGGCCGGGCTGAGGGACCTTCCCCCCTCCCCCCGAGCGCACAAATTTTTGTGCACTGGGCCTCTAGTTTTAAAATAAATGACTGAGAAAAATTGTGTATTTGTTAATACATGAATACTAGTAATTCACATTTGAAGGGGTAATATGGTGATATTAACATTTTGCATACATATGATTTTCAAGACTTTCTCTACTTACCCCTTTAAATGAAACAGAAACAAATGCAATATTTTCCTTAGTTTATTTTTTGTGAAAATACTTTCCAGGACTACAGTTGCTAGAAACTGGCAGGGGAAAACCCCTCAATTTACTATGATTAGATATTTTAAGGGAAATATGCAATTTAAAAGGATTAACATTTTATTCCTCATCCTACAGTTTGGAATTGAAACAGAGCCAATTCCAGAAGATATTGAAGATCCCAAAGCCTACAGGTATGGGAATCCTATGTAATAAAAGCATAATATGCAAATCGACTGAATGGTGGAACGATGGGTCAGCGGGGCCGGCTGGCATGTGCCAGTGGGCAGAGGGAGGGGATGGTGTTGGGGGGCAGCGGTGACCAGATGCAGTGGAGGGGCGATGCGGGGGGCAGGGCTGTCTCCAGATTGGCCCACGGGGGTGGCCTCCTGCAGCGGGGTGATTCAGGGGCCAGCTCCATCCTTTGATCAGCCTGCCTGGTTGCCTCCCGCAGAGGAAGGCCAGGCTGTGGCTTAGGCCCGCTCCCCGTGAGCGCTCCCGGACTGCAAGAGGGTGCAGGCCAGGCTGAGGGTCCCCCCGCCACCCGGCCCCGCCAGTGCACAAATGTTCATGCACTGGGCCTTTGGTTTTTGATAAATACCTACTAAGCCTGAGCTTTTGCAAAACAAACCAATATGTCACAGAAGTTGACTAAGCTAAATAAATTTCCAAATATTTAATACTAATTTTCTCTGTGCTGTTTCTGTATCCTAATTTGTTGGTCTTTCAAATTTTGTTTTCAGTATAGAGAATGCCAGAAGAAAAAGAGAACATGACAAGTTAATGAAAGAAGTGGAAGAAATGAAGGCCAAGAAGAGGGAACAACTCAAAGGTTTGAGGAATCGATTTCAGAAACTGTTAGAAATGAATGAAGAATTACCAAAGCATATGCAGTTTCAACGGACAGTAAGTCAAAAATAAATTTGGCCAATGTGTTGGCAGCCACTAAACTACTGTAGCACTTGTCACACAACTTAGTTTGGATGCAGAAGAACCTCTTAAATACAAAGTTTACTTCTGGATTTAGCTACCTTTCCTTTTTTGTGTGTGTAACAAGATACAAATATAGGTTTGAATCTGGTTATCAACTCTTTATCATATGCAGTGAAGATATCTAACTATTGTATATATATGATCTGATTCTTGGTGCTTCCATTTCCATAATTCATCAGACCTGTTGAAAAGATAATACCTGCTTTATCCACAAAATTTCTGACTTAGTTTATGGGTAGCGATGGTGGTGAACACTGAATTGTTTAAGGTAATTTTGTATTGATTTTTTTTTCTTTTGTGACTTACTGCAAAACTCCATCTACTTGCCAGTGATTCTTTTTTTCATTTTGTTGTTGTTGTTAATCGTCACCCGAGGATATTTTTCCATTGATTTTTAGGGAGAGTGGAAGAGAGAGGGAAAGACAGAGAGAAACATCGATGTGAGAGAAATACATTGACTGGTTGCCTCCCGCATGAGCTGGGGCGGGGAGGAGCCTGCAAGCGAGGTCCGTGCCCTTGCCTGGAATAGAATGCAGGACCCTTTGGTCTGCAGGCCAATGCTTCATCCACGAGCCAAACCAGTTGGGGCTTTTTTTTTTTTTTCCATTTTGTACTTCTTCCTTAATGGAAGTACTGTCAAGCACCTTATCAAATAAAAACCCAGAATTTATCATCCTGACTATATCTGTGGTTTGCCCAGTCCTGTCATTCTAGAGGCACTTAATCGATTTCATATAAAAATGCTTGGGTGAGATCATAATGGTTAACTCACTTTGGTTAAAAGATGTCTATGCTCTTTCAGTAAGAAAAAGGTAGACACTTGGCAGAATATGGGTGACAAAATTCAAAACAAAGGACAACTGAGGCAAGATCTGTAGCTAACACCTAACACACATCATGACTTAAACCTCCAGCTCCTCTGGAAAGAATAATTGCTACTCCCAATTTAGTGTGAACAAAGTACCTGAAATTTTATAGGCGTGAAGGTAGGAAACATGAGGCCTCTAAGTATCTTTATGGGGAAAATAACCCCCTTGGTAACCAGAACTTGGTGATGTTAAGAAGATGCCAAAGACTTTGCTATCGTTCCAGGGTAGGGTCACGTGGGAGGAGATGTTCAGCTAAGGAGCTAATGGTCAGCTGTGCCCAGTCCAGCTGGTAGCAGTAGTTGCTTTAGAATGGAGGGAAAACAGTTTTTTAAAACTCTGTGAAGCTCCGGAGTATTTTTTTAAACTTTATATACTCTTTAAATATTCTGTTACCATTCATTATTTTTATTGTGAGAAGATCGTTTAGTACATAACTTCATTTGCATCATTGTTAATTATTTTTGAGAACTGTTTTCTATTTTTTGTGGAAGATCAAAAGTATGTTATTTCCTTCTAGAATGGAGAGTGTTTATGATATTTGGGAGAGAGTAATGATGAGGCAGGAAATTGAGGACACAACTTAAAATATATATGTATGGTATAGGATTAATAAAGTACCCATTTTGATGAACAAATATACCTATCTGCAGGATTTTAATATAGATGCCCAAATTCGTGCTGAGATGAACAGAATAACAGCTCATAAGATTCATCAAGTGGAAAAGGAATTAGCTTGGGAAAAAGAGAAACATGATCTTGGCCTAAAGAAGTTAGAGAAAAGGTAGGATCCATATTTCTTGCAACTTAAGATGTTTGAGAGCATATATTTGAATAAAATAGTTTGCAGTGACTTAATCAAAGTGGTCAGATAAGAGGTCTTCTGAAATATGCACTAACTCTTGACATCTCAAGAAATCTTCTTGTCATTCCTACTAATAACTTCCTGAGCTTTCTGCTCACTCCTTGCTAGTTTAAATCTGAGAAATTAGTTTAACAATTAGATACAAACCCAATTATGTAATATATATTTACTTTGTTTTTAACAAATTATTTTTTCTCTAATTGATAAAATAGCATGTAAATATTAAAAAAAACAAACAAAAAATAAAATAGAACCAAAGGACTTATGATGAAAGACAACTTCCTGTCTTATCCCTTTATCCCTCTCATGTACCAGTTTGACAGGGAAAATTACTTTTCTTTTTAAGATATAATTTACATGTAGTAAACTGCATAAATATTTTTTTAATCCTCACCCAAGGATATGTTTATTGATTTGAAAGAGGAAGGGAGGAAGGATGGAAGGAAGGAGGGAGGAGAGAGAGGGAGAGAGAACGAAAGAAAGAGAGAAACATTGATTGGTTGCCTCTCATATACACTCTGATCTGGGATTGAACCTGCAACCTAGTTGTGTGCCCTGACCAAGAATCAAACCCACAACCTTCTGGTGTATGGGATGATGCTCTAACTAAGCCACCCAGCCAGGGTTGAAATGCATAAATCTTAATTGAACAGCTTGATAAATTTTTACAGATGTATAAACAAATATCTCTGATACCCAGATTAAGAACATATATATAGCACTCCAGAACGTTCTCTCATGATCCCTCCCAGTAAGAATTTAATCTCCAAAAATGAATGTTTACCACCATAGATTAGTTTTGTCTGAACTTCATATGAATGAAATGTTGCAGTATGAACTCTTTGGTATCTGACTTTTTTACTTGGTGTCATGCCTCAGGTTATCCATGTTGTTGCAGGTAGCAGTGGCTCATTCTTTTTCTTGCGTTGTAATATTCTATTAAATGGTAACGTCACAATTTATTTATGCATTTAACTGTTGATAAATAGTTGTTTCTTCTATGTTTTGACTACTTTGAGTAATGGGACTATGAACATTCTTGTGCCTTTTTTAAAATTTTTTTTTGGTGGACATAAACACTTGTTTCTGTTTGCTATATAACCAAGGGTGGAACTGCTGGGTCCGAAGTTATATGCATGTTTAACTTGATTAGACACTGCCAGACAGTTTTCTAAAGCGGTTCAACCAATTTATATGCTGGTCCTCAATGTGTGAGAATTCGAATTGATCCCCTTGTATTGGTTCCCTAGGGCTTCCATGACAAAATACCATAGACTGGTTGATTTTTAACAACAGGTATTTACAAACTGATAGTTGTGGAGGCTGGAAGTCCAAGATCAAAGTGTTGACTAAGTTGTTTTTAACTGAGAGAGGGGAAGGAGAATCAGTTCCGTGCCCGTCTCTGAAATTCTGGTGGTTTGTCAGGAATCAGTGGTGTAGATGCATCACTCCACGCTGCTGCCTTCATGTGGTGGACTCTCTGCGTCTCTTCCTATAACCTTCCCTCTGGGCATGTCCACATTACCTTTCTTTTGTTTATAAGGACACTAGTCATGCTAGAACCCCATCTAATCACCTTATTTCAACTTGAATACTTCTGCCAAGACTCTACTTTCCAGATAGTCATATTCTGAGGGACTGGGAGTTAGTACTTTAACGTCTTTTTGAAGGACACATTCAACCCATAATACTCATGCTTTTCATCTCTTGGTATTGTCATATCTTTAAATTCCAGCCACTGGCCTTTCCCTAGAGAGTAATGATTTTCATCCCCTTTCCTACACTTATGGTTATTTATGTGGTCTCTTTTGCTACATGATTATTCAAGTCTTTTGTTTATTCTAAAAATTGTGTTGTAGGAGTTATTGGCATATTCTGGATATGAGTCTTTTGTCATATATATGACATGTACCTATGACACATGTATATATATGACCCATATATATATGTGTGTGTGTGTATATATATATATATACACACACACACACTGAGTGGCCAGATTATTCTGATCGGCCAGATTATTATGACCACCCCATCAGTACTTCGTTGGGCCACTTTTTGCCTTCAATACTGCGGCGATTTTTCTTGGCATGGACTCCATGAGATGTTGAAAGGTGATGCGAGGAATCTGACACCATGCCTGATGAATAGCACTGTCCAGTTCTGTGAGATTCGATGGTTGTGGAACTAGCTGCCTGATGGCTCTTCTAACTTTGTCCCACAAATGCTCACTTGGATTGAGATCTGGTGATTATGGGGGCCACCTAAGCAAGGTAAAGTCTCCCTCATGCTCTTGAAACCACTCCTGCATAATACGAGCACCAGGGCATGGTGCGTTGTCTTGTTGGAAGAAGCCATCTTCTTTGGGATACGCCATCAACATGATAGGATGAACTTGATCAGCAATGATACTTAGGAATATTGTGCTATTCAGACGTTTATAATGATCTGGCCCTCTAGCAACTTCAGTGGGAAATTATAGCTAATTTGCCTACAAATGTCAGGTGGTCATAATAATCTGGCCACTCAGTATGTGTATGTGTGTGTATGTGTGTGTGTGTATGTAAAATATCTTGCTCTAGTCTGGTTGGATTTTCATTCTCATTATTGTGCCTTTTGAACAGAAGTTTTTAATATCAAAGAGTTCAATTTATCGTTTCTTTTCAATTTATTAATATTTCACTAATTCTTTTACCACTAGTTAGAGCTTTCATGCTGTTGTTAGAAAACTTTGTCTGTTCCCAATTCATTAGATAATTCTCCTATGTTTTCTTTATTGTTTCCATTCTCTATCTTGAATAATTCTAATGGGTATTGTAAGATACAGGACAAGTCATAGATTCATAACTGGGAAGGTCATGGTGGGTAGTCACATTCACACTCCAGGCGTATAATTTGAAGTGGTTGTTTGCGGCAGCAGTCTCTGGTGTTTACCTATGCCGCCATCTTGGTCTCTCCTCCAAAGTCTCTTGTGCCTTTTTTAAAATTTTTTTTTGGTGGACATAAACACTTGTTTCTGTTTGCTATATAACCAAGGGTGGAACTGCTGGGTCCGAAGTTATATGCATGTTTAACTTGATTAGACACTGCCAGACAGTTTTCTAAAGCGGTTCAACCAATTTATATGCTGGTCCTCAATGTGTGAGAATTCGAATTGATCCCCTTGTATTGGTTCCCTAGGGCTTCCATGACAAAATACCATAGACTGGTTGATTTTTAACAACAGGTATTTACAAACTGATAGTTGTGGAGGCTGGAAGTCCAAGATCAAAGTGTTGACTAAGTTGTTTTTAACTGAGAGAGGGGAAGGAGAATCAGTTCCGTGCCCGTCTCTGAAATTCTGGTGGTTTGTCAGGAATCAGTGGTGTAGATGCATCACTCCACGCTGCTGCCTTCATGTGGTGGACTCTCTGCGTCTCTTCCTATAACCTTCCCTCTGGGCATGTCCACATTACCTTTCTTTTGTTTATAAGGACACTAGTCATGCTAGAACCCCATCTAATCACCTTATTTCAACTTGAATACTTCTGCCAAGACTCTACTTTCCAGATAGTCATATTCTGAGGGACTGGGAGTTAGTACTTTAACGTCTTTTTGAAGGACACATTCAACCCATAATACTCATGCTTTTCATCTCTTGGTATTGTCATATCTTTAAATTCCAGCCACTGGCCTTTCCCTAGAGAGTAATGATTTTCATCCCCTTTCCTACACTTATGGTTATTTATGTGGTCTCTTTTGCTACATGATTATTCAAGTCTTTTGTTTATTCTAAAAATTGTGTTGTAGGAGTTATTGGCATATTCTGGATATGAGTCTTTTGTCATATATATGACATGTACCTATGACACATGTATATATATGACCCATATATATATGTGTGTGTGTGTATATATATATATATACACACACACACACTGAGTGGCCAGATTATTCTGATCGGCCAGATTATTATGACCACCCCATCAGTACTTCGTTGGGCCACTTTTTGCCTTCAATACTGCGGCGATTTTTCTTGGCATGGACTCCATGAGATGTTGAAAGGTGATGCGAGGAATCTGACACCATGCCTGATGAATAGCACTGTCCAGTTCTGTGAGATTCGATGGTTGTGGAACTAGCTGCCTGATGGCTCTTCTAACTTTGTCCCACAAATGCTCACTTGGATTGAGATCTGGTGATTATGGGGGCCACCTAAGCAAGGTAAAGTCTCCCTCATGCTCTTGAAACCACTCCTGCATAATACGAGCACCAGGGCATGGTGCGTTGTCTTGTTGGAAGAAGCCATCTCCTTTGGGATACGCCATCAACATGATAGGATGAACTTGATCAGCAATGATACTTAGGAATATTGTGCTATTCAGACGTTTATAATGATCTGGCCCTCTAGCAACTTCAGTGGGAAATTATAGCTAATTTGCCTACAAATGTCAGGTGGTCATAATAATCTGGCCACTCAGTATGTGTATGTGTGTGTATGTGTGTGTGTGTATGTAAAATATCTTGCTCTAGTCTGGTTGGATTTTCATTCTCATTATTGTGCCTTTTGAACAGAAGTTTTTAATATCAAAGAGTTCAATTTATCGTTTCTTTTCAATTTATTAATATTTCACTAATTCTTTTACCACTAGTTAGAGCTTTCATGCTGTTGTTAGAAAACTTTGTCTGTTCCCAATTCATTAGATAATTCTCCTATGTTTTCTTTATTGTTTCCATTCTCTATCTTGAATAATTCTAATGGGTATTGTAAGATACAGGACAAGTCATAGATTCATAACTGGGAAGGTCATGGTGGGTAGTCACATTCACACTCCAGGCGTATAACTTCTTTAGTAAAAGGCTTATTTTTGCTGTAAGCAGGCCCTGCCCATTGTTTCTTTGCATCTAGCTTAGCACACCTTTGAAATTGCCCCCTTTGA